ATTTTTGAAACAAGGTACCCTATCTTATTGTAAATTTTATGTACTTTTACGTGGTTATAGTGGTTTTTTGATCAAACACTTTTAAAATGCTTAAAAATTAGGAAAATGGAGCTAAAAACGGACTTTTTTCAGAAAAGTGTCATTTTGGATCCCGGAAGAAATTATCCTACCGGCAAATATAATTACTTAAAAGGATGTTGAACATACTTTTCTAGACCAAAATTTTACGTACTTTTCAGTTACATCATTCACTGTAACTTTAAAGCTCATTTTAAAGCAATAAAATCTCAAAAATAACAAAAAAGTTAAATTTCATCATTTTTTTCTTAACTTTTTTTAACCCAAAATTCAGTGCTCAGACCCCTCAAAAAGGTTTTACGGCAAGTTTTAATAGCCCTGGATTATGGAAAATTTCATGAACTTTTCATTTCGCACCTTGTTTTTTTTCTTAAACGCCTTTTAACACGTAAAAAATAAGAAAAACCGCGGGAAAATTTTTTTCGGACAAATTGCAATTTTTTTCAACATTGCCTCCGCATTTTCACGAGAGACGCCAAAAATACAAATAAAGGTAAATTTCTTACACAAAATTTTACTAGCTTTTCGATGATTACCATGGTTTGATTGAAAAAATTGTTTGCAGCCATGAAAAACCACAAAAACATGAGACAAAGCCGTGTTATTGAACAATTTGTACATTTTTAACGTCTCAAAAATTGGCTTCTAAGTACACTTAAATACCTTCAAAAATGTATTCATTAACATTTTTGTAACTTTTATGTGCTATTACATTGGTACCATAAAATTTACTTCAAATAAAAATGACTAAACTTGAAAATTTTGGGTATATGTTAAGAAAAAGGTTCTAAACAGAGCAGCCGGGTTTTTCCAATAGACAACTTTAACGCCTTATCTAACTCTCTTTAAAAAATTCGAAACAGTAATTTCAGGTATGCAATTTTTTGGAAATTTTATGCTCTAAACAATTATAACCATCGTTGAATCGTATCGTTAGTTTCCAGCTGTCAAAAAGCCGAAAATCGTTGAAATTCTGCAATTTCTAGAGAAATCATTTTTTAGCGTAATTCCCTTAAATACGCTTTTCAGGTACATGTTGTAAAATTTAAAGGAAAACCAGTGTGTTATTTGTCTTTCAAATTTTATAACCTTTCAAAAAAGTATATATAAGTTGTACTTTTGTTGAAAAATAATTGATCGAAAGCGCTGGAAACGGAAAAAAACAGCTGAATTTGTTGTTAAATATTGACTGCATGCTTTTGAATGATTCGTCTCACAATGAGGTCATAAAAGATGAAAAGGTAAAATGAATGGGTACACTTATGTAAAATTTAGCGTACTTTTCAGTGGTGTCGTTGTTTTTAACCTTTAATTAATTATTTTGACCTAAAAATGGTCAAGAACGCGAAAAATCGTGAATTATCAGCAGATTTTGCCAGTTGTTTTTAAATAGTAAAATTCGGAAAGAAAAAAAATAATAAAAGCCTAAGTTTTGTATATGATTCTTAATCAAAATTTTATGATCTTTAAATCTGATCTTTTGCAATTTTTTTGTTCAACGCATTATTTTTGAGTTATAAAGGCAAATCCGTATGCACGTCCTCTTTGAAAATCACCGAAAGTCGCCATTTTGAAAAACTGCGATTTGACCACTTTCCCGGTGGAATTTTTTGGTAAACTTTTTTTTCTGTCTTATTGGGTACCTAGAGACCCTATATACCAAAGGAAAAGTTTGTGCTAATTTGTCCGAGCTAAAAAGCTAGAATGACTGGACTATTGGTTTTTTTTAAAAAGTGTAACTTGAACGAACGCTTGGAAAACCCTGATGTAAGTTTGATGATTCTGGTTGAGTATTGTCGCATTTCTTGTTAGGGCGGGCGTATCTCAAGCTCTGCATGAGTCCCAGAAATCTTGGATTTATACGTAAAACGGGGTTTACGTGGACATTGAGATACGCTCTTGTGTCAGAAGGCCGATTGACATATTTCAAAACATTTATCATCATCCCTCTGAAGAAAGTCCAACCCCACTTCCATTTTAGCCATTTCAAGATATCATGGAAGAACTGCCGTTAACCTCATAGATTCCAATATAAAGCGTCTTTTTTTGAACACCATACCTAATGACCATGACAGTATGCAGAGGTTATGATTTTTCACACATTCAGAGCCCTTATTGTGCACGTCCAAAAATTAAAAAACTTACTTAATTTATAATTCCTTCTTATTAATTAAACGATGACGAAAATTAAAAATCAGGAGTTAATTTCTCTCTATCATTAGGTTTCAGACTAATAATGATCTCAAACCAAGGACTCACGCTGTTTTGATAGATTAATCGGCTGTCCTCGATGAACCGAATACATTATTGACAAAGCTCCAACCATTGAAAAAACACAACATATGCGACAGCTGCCCTGGAAAAAAAACTGAAGGGTTAATATTTGAATTATAACATATGGTCGCTGGAAGAAAATATGGTGCGATAGCGCGGCAAACTCTTGCTATTCATGCAATTCACAAACGCCAATTTTATTTCATTATACCTTAATAGAATCTAAGGTAGGAGCGAACCTACCCTGAAATTTACAAAACTTGTGCACGGAAAAAAATGAAATTGCTGATTCAACAATTTTGTTGTTAAAAAAAGTGTCCGACCTGTTTCAATGTAGATTTTACAATAAAAAATTGCTAATTAAACATCCTCCTCCCCGTCCGTGGTTAAATTAGTCTTCCATGCACTATTGTAAAATGTGCATTTGAAACATGTGGGCCATTTTTTTAAACAATTTGATTGTTGAATCAGCAATCCATTTTTTTCGTGTAACATATTTTCTTTCGAATTTTAAAGTTTTTGTAGTAATTGATCATTGTAATTAATTTCAAGGATCGAGATAAAAAATCATGATGCTGACAATGTGAACCATGCAGAGCCTCCTAAGGGAAGGCTGTGTAAAGAACAACTATGAAGAGGACTCGTAGTTGATAAACTAAAAAGTAAAATGATTATCAATGCAAACCTGACTTTCCACCGGGGGATAACTTTCGTGGTTGGTCCAACTAAAACTGGAGGGCGCTCGGCGAATAATAGACGATAAAGATTTCGAGACAGGCTCCTCCATAGCCTGATACTCTATTGTTTCATTGAAAGAAATCAGCATTTGATCTTCAAACTCCGCCTCTAGAAATTTAACACACTTTACCGAATACAAAGTAATTGTCCGATTGAAAGTATGGAACACAAAGAGGGGGTATCAATAAGGATCAATATTGCCCGAATCCCAGACTTTGATATTTTTCGATCTTTCACAGGTGACGACGCATATTTTTCAAAAATAATTTAATAATAGTTTAGATGAAACTCACATTTTCGGCATTTTCGGCAACAGAGTAGGGACTCGAAGAGCTTGTCAAAAAGGGGCCTTTTTGTGGTCCTTTTGTGGGAACTTAAGGAATTTATTCGATAGTGACCTAGCAGAATCCTTATGTTTTCCTCCAGTGAAAGTTTTATCTCGAGTTCGAAGCTCGTTTTGGCAATACATCGTTGCAAAGTTCACGTTTTTCACCGTTGAAAAATGCTAGAATTTTGAAGATTTTCAGTTGCGTAAGTAAGTTCACTTGATTTTTTTTTTTAAAAATTTTTGAGGCGCATTAACAAGAATGGAGAATTTGTAGGTGTCTGAAATTTGATGAAGCGGACGCTACCAAGTCAGCTGAGCACGAGGATACCCTTGGTTCATAAATTGAACAATTATTGGAGGAGATATGATAAACTAATCTAATCTGCTAAAATGCATGCATTTAAATGAGAAATGCCGCCAGATGACGTCACTAGGCGGTCAATTTATTCACATTGAAATCTATTTTTATACTATTTTCCATAACAGAAAAAAATTATAAAAAATACTGCAAAATCAGCTCTTTGGGCACTTTCAGATGAAGCAATAAAAAATTTGCGTGCCAATTCTCCATTGTCGATAGTGTGCCTCACATAAAAAAAAAAACAACTTAAATCGTTTTTTTAACCTAAGAACTTTAAAATACTAGCATTTTTCGATGGAAAAAATGTGAGTTTTGCAACGCTGCATTAGTAGTATCTCGTCGTTAGGTTCCGAGTAGGCTACAATTGAACAAAATCCTTGAAATCTTCCAAGAACGGCACAAAAGTGCCATTTTTTGGACAGGCTTTTTGGATCTAGAGACCGAATTCAGTGAAAATGTGTGTTATTTGGACGTATTTCTATGAAACGGAACGAAACGCTATAGGGGAGGAAAGGAGAGGGGAGCTTGGATTGGCGGGTGTTGCGGAACGCGATGCTCGTTCCGTCCTATACTCGCAATGCTTTTCCATGCGGGATTCTAAAATCCTCAAAAGGAATTAATTCGGCGCTTATTTCCGTTCAAAAGAAATACGTCCATTTTAGAACTTTGCTTCGGGTTATATGCTGGATTCGCAGACTACAGTTGAAGTGTTTTATATGTGTTATTGGGGACTATTTTGGACGTTCCGTATGCGAAGTTAATCAACTGTCACCTTTAAACCTACGGTTAAAAACTAGTCTTTGCTACGGAAGTCTTCACTTCGCTCGTCTGGTCCGGATACGTCCTTTCTTTTCAAAAAATAAATCCGTCAATAAAGATAGAGGGATAGTTACATGGACCTAATTTTAAAGTTTAGCAGATTGAGTAGCTTGGTTCCTATTTTAGATTTTTTTTTTTCAGTATAATTTGGTTCAAAGCAATCATCATAGCGTCAAAGCAGACTAGTGTTAACTTTTCAACACATCAATCCTTTTTATATAACTCCTTTATTTGTAAGACTTTAACTAATTCTAATACCTGTATCGTACTTACCCGATAAATCTGAGAACATTGTCACTCCAAACTCGGCTTTCTCATTCTCATCGCCATTCATCTTTTCAATTATTTTCAAATTGCTTTTGAAAATACCGAATCTCTTCACTTCCTCGGCCTTGCTTTCATATGTCTTATTGAATTTAACCATGAACTCGCGGAACTGCTTCATATGTGTCTTCATAGAAAATCAGAAAATTGAGCATGAAGGTTCATGCATAATTTATACATAACATAACTATGTACAGATCACGAAATCAGGTATGTTAAAGAAAATTGCAATGGAACACTAAACAAAGCTGAAATAGGGGCACCAGGGTACCGACACCGCCAGAACTGTTAAAAAAAGTATCCGTCCCAGCGTTTAATTAAATTTTAAAAGTCGGATTTACAATAATCATGCTTCCCTTTGAAGACATCAATAATTATTTCAGTAAAAAAATAATTTCAATGTAATATAATAGTCATATATAAATTGCTTCATTGCTAATGGATGCGTCATGTACATGATAAGCAGTCAGGATGTTACACTGTAGAAATGTACAGTTTACACTACTCCGGTGTATTTTATGTGGAATGTGAAACTTACCAGCTCAGTTTCCGAAAATGATTTAAAGCCAGCTACTAGAGTTGCACGCCAAATCTATATCAAAACAGATTAGTTGGTTATATTTCTACAAATATATTGATATTTTACACACGTTTGATCAATTCCTAGAGCTCGGCTCAGATAAATTTCCATGTTTCATCATGTTGCGATAAAGCAATTCCCTGTTTCGCTTAGACAGCGAAAAAGACAAAGTAATCTTAAACGAGATTCTGTTAGATTTTATGAGTCTCAGATCATAGTATATTTCAATAATTGACCATCACAAATTATTGGCGGTAGACCATCATATTATATTCCTCGGGGAACATTGCGAATATGACGATGCGTACATTTGTACTCTAAAAGTGCGCAGGCATATTCTTATAGTATGTGTGCGAAATTTTGTGACGCACATTTTTAGGATATATAAAGAGGCTCGAAATGACGTGAGAATTAAACCGATGGTTTTAATCATCAAAATTTACAATCCTTAATTCGTAAATTAATACAGTGGAAACTTACCGTAAAAATTATGAATGACCAATAACACTCACGGGTTTTCATCTTGATAGCAGTGAGGTACAACTAATCGGAATAATCGGACTAGCAGAATTGTCATGAAAATTTCGATGAGCAGTCAAAGACAAATATAGAACCGCAAATACAATCCAACGCATGTAAGCTTCAAAATTTATCCCGTCAAGGGTAATTGATTCACGTTTGGTTTATGACGTTATTCGTGAAATGCTGAAGGTTTTGTATTATGGAAGGCCGTTTGTACCTAAATTAAAAACTGAAAATATATTTTTTCCCACAATTTTTTTTCAAGTTTTTTTCTTTTTAACCATATGCTTTTTTATTTGCATAAATTAATTTTTTTCAGAAATATTTATTTTCTTTCAATTTATTTATTCTTTTATAGATAAAATATATATTTTCATCGAAAATTAATTATTATTCTAGTAGACCGAAAATAGTGTGGTAACACTGCGAAAAGCGTTGTTGCCAAGAAGAATGGGGAGGGTGGAGGGGGGCAAGGTTGCCCCATCCCTCTCAAATTCAAATATACTTATAGGGGTAATAATATTTCTTCAATGTAACTTCCTCAAAACCTCAAAAAAGACACAAAAATGTGTTTATAATGAGAGACTCCTAGATCTGAGGGGATTGGGGAGAGAGGGGGAGATTTAGAGGGGGGGGCAGTTTATCTGTGGAAATAGAATTTGGAACCTTGGTAATAAAAGAGGAAGTATGAAAATCATAAAATTCTTCAAAAAACAGTGAAAAAAGCATCGCAGCTATGAAATAACCATACATTCTCAATACGGGCCTCGCAGACCCGGGTTAGTCATTCTTGGGGTGGACATGGAAAATAATTGCTGTGCCTAAAAAAACTTTTTTGAATTTTTTTTTCTGGAATTATGTTTTTAAGGGTTTTTGTAGAGCTATTTGTGAAGGACAGACTTCTCGGATAATTACAGCTGCCGTGGCGCGAAAAATAAGAAGCCGCCGGGCCTCATAGACCCGGTTAGTCATCTAAGGGTTAAATTCAGGGAGAATCATATCTTGGACTTTCAATAGTCAATCCCATGATATAAAGGTTGAGATTTTCAGACACCGCAAACGAAATATTGCCGATTTACAGCGTTGAAATGTTACTGTAATTATTGTCAATTACTCCACGTACTGGAAGTTTAAAAAATTCTTCATCAAGTCAATTAAAGACTAAAGACCACAATTAAAGACCGCCTCAGGTGTGTGCTGAAAATATCCAATGAAATTCATCTTTTCATGTGAAGAATATTAAAATTCTTACCCCAAAAATTTCCATGTTTGTTCACAGAGGATATGCAATTGGCAGATTGTAAATATTGTTTGAATCATACGCAACTATTCATGTTCACAATCACCAAATCACACGTTGAAAATCTGTCTCTTTCCATACCGATATGCGCACCATGTTTTTAAGCACAGCGTTTCATTAAAGTGTAAGTAGAAAACCTCTTTTCATTCCTCAGACTTTTTCTCTACTCTCTAAACTGCAAGAAACAAAATTACAGGACACTCTACTCTTCAATAAGTACAAGTCTAACAAGGAACAACTCGTAAATGTTACTGTAACCATTGTTAATTACTCCACTTACTGACAATTTAAAAGATTCTTCATCAAGTCATTTAAAGACTCAAGGGAAATGTTGAATGATCACCACTTCAGGTGTCTGCTGAAAATACCCAATGAAATGCATCTTTTCATGTAAAGAATATTAAGATCGTTATCAAATAATCTTGTTTGTTCACAGAGGATGTGCAATTGATAGATTGTAAATATTTTTTGAATCATCCGCAACTATTCATATTCACAATCATCTGTCTGTTCCTGCACTAAGATGCCCCCCATTTTTTCAAACACAGCGTTTCGATAGTATGTAAGTAGAAAACCTCTTTACGTTCCTCAGACTTTTTCTCTACTTTCTAAACTGCCTGCAAGAAATAAAATTACAGAATAACTCTCCTGTTCAAATAGTACAAGTCTAACAAGGAAACAACTCATAAATGTTACTGTAATTATTGTTAATTACTCCACGTACTGACAGTTCTAACGATTCTTCATTAAGTCAATTAAAAACTCAATAGAAGTGTTCAGCAAACACCATATCAGGTGTCTGCTGTAAATAACTATATTGGAATGCATATCTGCATTCAGCATTCTGCCTTCCCCTTACAATTGTTGGCGACACCTTTGCAGGAATACAACCCATTTTTAGGATCCTAATTAACTTTCTGCATACGCATTTTGGCGCATTCAATTTTGGTACGTCAACTTTTTTAGGCGCCACAATGGCCCAGTCCTGTAATTTTAAGGTTTGCCTGTAGAAGGCAGAGTCCTGTCTTCACTTGGAAAATATATGTAATTGATTGTGTTGTAAAATGAAAATGAAATCTTATTAATTAAAGCCTTCTAAAATCCTGCTCATATCTTGTCTTTTGTCACTCAGTTTATGTTTCCCCATAGCTGTGAATATCATTTAACGTCTGTACGAACCGTAGAAAATGACCGTTCAAATTTATCCTGAAAGTCATGTGTGACTTCAACCATTCAAAAGTGCAAACCAAGAAGTAAAGAATAAGTCATAATAAGCTATAGCATAAGTTCTATCTTTTAATGCACAAACTAACTATGTCTTCAATTCCATTCAAATTCACTAGATAGCAATAATTGATCTGCTGGGACAGACCTCATTTTAAAAGTTAATGAGGGCATGTACAATTTCTTTTGAAATTTTCAATAATGAAACATTCGGTCTGGTACCGCAGTGATCTCTCAAAATATCTTTCTGTATGTAACGCCTGTTTAATTTTTTGAATGTGAAAGTAATCGATGCATGAAGATCCGAGCTCAGCAGTAATCAGTTTGTCTGAACTATTTGACTAAATTCGAAGTAAATCTTTGTTAAGAAAACTCAAATTTACAAAATGTCAACTGTTGACTCCCATATTTAGCTGCTAAATTCATCATGTGCGGCAGGGGTGCCGCCCACGGGAGACAGGAGCCGACCAAAAGTGAGGCTGGTGCGCGCGCAGTTCGCATGTTTGAATTGTAATTACGCGGAAGACCCGAACCGCAGGCGCAGGGGAAGTTGTGCTATTTACGAATATTATAATGACAACAGATTCCGCGAGTTCCGTACTACTTTCTCCCCGTTTACAATTTTTTAAAAAAGATTTACGTAAGGAAGGTGTTAAAAAATCAGTGTATTATTATTAAGAGTTTTTTTCACCATTATTTTACTTAAATTTAACAAATGATGAAAGAATCTGAAAGGATCTAAATATGGCTAATTCTTACCTAACACTATCTGATGAGGTCCTTCTCATACCTTCATCACCACCAAGTAGATGAAAGTTCCACTGTGAACTTAGTTGGCAAATAAAAATGCAAACGATGAAGCTACTTTTTTTGTTCCCCGACTCCAAATGGTAGAAGTTCTAAGGCATATAGTTAAAACTGTATTTATCATTCCTCAATGAATGTATGGTTATAAGGTACCTTCATTACCACTAAGTAGATGAAAGTTCCACGGTGAAATCAATTTCAAAGTTTAAAAAAAAACTCATATTTGAAGTCGTAATTATGGGTATATCCCACGCTACCATGAATGTCAAACTTTCAATCAAGACAAACTCTCTATCAAAGCTAAAGAGCAAATACATGACAAGGTTGCCGTGTTTTCAGTTTTGCAGTCCCTCCAAAAAATGAGATTAGTTCTTTATCAGCACACCTATCATTTAAAATACAGAAAAGAATTTTCTCAATTTTAGGAAGTATCAAATATTAATGCAACAGTATAAAAAATAAAGCTTGATTAATTATTCAATTCTTCACAGCAGGTGAAAAACTATTATGAAATAAAAAAATTCGTTGTACGAAAGGCCAAAAAACAATGTAAACACGAGTTTGAGCTGCTATTCCACAAACAGAGGCGTAGGAAGGGGGGGCCAGGTGGGGCCTGGCCCCCCTAGAATTGGAAATAGTATCATCTGCCCCCCCCCCCAGAAATTCTGGATGTTGCAAAAACACCTTCTTCAACGGTAAGTCTCTGTCGCCGTGGTCCATGAGAGGATGTCTATAAATAGAAAAACCTGTTGAATGCAACAATTTCAAAGTATTTTAACCTTAAAATGCAAAAAACTGGGTGATTTTAAGGCAGAAATTTAAGGAAAATTAGCGCCACAAGTGCCTAGAGATGCGCTCAAGTAGAGTTAAAATTTCAAAAATTTTCCGGACCCCCGGTGATGGGGGGGGCCAGGCCCCCCCTAGCAAAATGACCTAGCAACGCCTATGAGTGGATCAACTGAAATAAAGGAATCCCCTTATACTACAGTTGATCTGAAGAAGAAAAAATTCAAATTTGTTGGAGACATACTCAATTCTGATTCCAACATCACTGGTAAACGACTGTAATACTAATTACTTTTTTTAAGAAAAAAAGAGGAGTTAGAAAAATGAAATATTTCTCAAATAAGTTATTTACCTGCTTAATCAGTTATCTATTTACTCAACAATGATGAAGCTGCAGAAATGCGTATCTCGATTTCGGCATTGCCAACATCCTGGTAAACCTTATTTCTTACATGGAAAACTACTGAACTTTTTTTTTAAAAAAAAAAAAAAAAATCTCACCAATTTTTCTTCTCCTTTTAAAGAATATTCTTTGAAAAAAATAAACCATGATGTTTGTTCGGCCTCCTTTTAAAAAAAAAAAAAATAGTAGCGGAATTTTTGAAATACCATGACCGAGATACGCATTTTTGCAGTGTAACCGTCCAGATGTAACATGTGTCATCATGGCATTAATTCATATACTTTGAGCTGTTGTTTTATTGAAGATACATCGATATAAAGGACAAACTATAAAAGCTTCCAGAATCAACCCTCTGAATAAACGCACTCTTATATTATTTTAAGAGTATTTTACTTTCCAGGAAAACGAAGCGTCTAAATAAAATCAAACGAAAGATACAGTACAAAAACATAGAGTACAAACAGTCGCAATGTAAATGGGAGAGCTGGC